ATTAAAAAAATACTTCTTCGTTCTAAAACTAGATAATGTTGTTTTAAAGATGTGTGCACAATTTGAACTAAATCGGYATATAACTTTTCGAGAAATCATGTCCGCGGACTTCAAAAATGGAGTTTTGAGAAAAACGCATTTAAAGTTTTACGCTACATCGACGTTGCCTGATGGGCGGAACTTCCGAAGGGCCTATCTCTTAGAATTTTAYTCGGATCGATTTAAAATTTTGRGAGAATATTTTAAACATATTGTTCTATTTAATAGGATAAAAAAAAATCGATTTTGAAATTTTCAAACCCACCTAACYCTTYAATGTCACAGTTTTGCGCGGTTATCTCCATATGAAATATTAGATAGGTTTATGACTTAGATAAATTTTCTAAGATTTTTTAATAGAATAGTCTGAATGTAGGCAATGCTTTTGTGGTAAGTTACATATTAATTGATTATTTTATTAGCAAAAACCAAATCTCAAACTTTGTTCAAGACATATATCACAAAAAAAATGGTAGTATGATCCTTGAACTCGGAATGTTAGTCATTAGAAAGTTATTCTGCAATTTTACTTTATTTCGAATAAAAAATGGGTTGAAATGGAATATATGTAACCTATAACTATAGGGGAAAAAATAATTTCAATAGYCACTGTAGCAGTGTATTTTAGCAGTTTTGGAAAATAAATTTTGCTCTACACTACCTCTAATCCAAACTAATTTGTTTAAAAAYTATTGTTTTTCTAAGTAGTTTTTATTTTTAATTCGAAAATTGCTATAAAATTTAACTGCGAAATAAATAATTTTATTTATTTATAAATGTGAAAAAAATAATACAATTATTTTATTTACACAAAAAAAAGGAGCACTGGCAGATATTTTGATATTTTTGTAACGTTCTCGAGAGACGTAGTTTTCAAAAGTGTTGTAGGTGTTTGGTTATCGAAGATAGTCCTCCTKATTCCTGTGAAATGGTGGCATCCGTCGAGCAGGTGATGTACTGTTAGTGAAGCCCCCGGGCAATGTTGGCAGTAAGGCGGACTGGACCGAYTGAAGAAGTACGAATGTGTGGCTATTGTGTGCCCTAAACGTAGGCGGACAAATGATTGAACATCGTTACATCGACAGTTTGGTGGATAGGTTGGTTTGCTCCTATCTGGGTTATTTAAAGTGTATTGGTGCTGGATGTGTCTCCAACTCTCCATTAGCGATTTAAGTTGGTGTTGGTGTGCCATCTTATATAAGTCTCTATTTCTCATATTTTATGTTGGCGCTGCTTTCAGCTAATTTGCTCCGGTTACAAGAAATGAAGTTAGATTTATTCATAACATTTAAGACCGCTGATATAGTTGATGTGCTCTCTGTACAAGGCGAAAAAAATTGATGGAAAGGGTCTTTAACCATATTGTGATTACTAGTCAAAAGTTAGTAAATCTTTCATCTTTATTTTATCACAATTTCTAGCCTACTTGTTTAGGTTATTGACTCTACTTTTAAATTTTTGAAGACCTGAATTTCTTTGCCTTAATCTACATCCCCAATAGTAAGCCGAAAATTGACCTAAAATAGAGATGACAGACAACTTTTCACCATAAATTGTTACCGAAAATTGAGGCTGATTTAAGATGGTCYGGCTAGCAGAGAGCGTATTAAAGATATTGAAATTACAGCAAGGAGTGCTATTTATATCGATTGTTTAAGAAAATTTATAGCTGCCGATCTTCAGCCACAGTTAGTTTTGCTCAGAAAAATCTGTATAAGTTCTTCGATATTCAATGGAAACGCCTTTACTGTATCTTATTAGCAATTTTTATTTAACACAATCTCTGTTCTTGAACGTCTTAATGTAATCTAAGTACTTCTACTTCAAGAAGTTAATAAAATCTAAGTACTCCTAATTTAAGACGTTCAAGAACAGAGCTTTCATTAAATAAAAATTGTTATTTAAATACAGTAAGGGTCTTTTCATTGCATTCCGAAGATTCAGATTCTTCTAAGTAAAACTAAAAATTAATCACATTCATATAGTTCCTAAACTACACACGTCATTCAATCGTACTCACGTTTCCTAGAAGGAGGTGAAGTCACCTATTCGCGTGAAATTACGTATCTGCCAAGGAATTTTTGCATAGCAAGTGTCTGCACAACTTCATAAGCGTATATAGTATCTATTTGAATCCTGCCACTAATGCACGAAATTTAATTGAATGCCTTTCACACTACAACTATTTCACGTTCTTGTTGTTATTTCTCAATTCATGGTACACAGTACACGGCGCTGTTTGGCTTGTTCGCGCTATTAGTCATCATCAGCGAGGTGCTGCGCGCATGGCGTTCACGCAAGTATCCGCGCGGACCCTGGGGCCTGCCCATACTTGGCTATTTGCCATTTCTCAATAAGCGCGAACCATACAAWACATTAACGGAATTAGCTAAGAGATACGGTCCGGTCTATTCGCTGCGGCTGGGCAATGTGGATGTGGTGGTGTTGGCCGATGCGGCGTCGGTGCGGGAATTCTTGAAGTGCGAGGAGTTCACCGCGCGCGCACCGCTCTATGTAACGCACGGCATAATGGGTGGATTCGGTGAGTCTATATATATGTATATGTATGTATGTATRTATCTAGATAAGAATTTTGTTGCGACTGCGGCAGAGCAAAATTCAAAAGACTTAAGCAGCGAACTTSCGCCGCTTTCAGTTGTGCAGTGAACGCMTGTAACTGAGCGCGCACATTTTTTGCATTGTCTCGCCAACTGGCAAGCGAATTTATGTGTTCGAAGCAACGGTAACTTTCGATTTCATTAATATCCTCTTCACTTTGATGTTCTGGTCTGGTCTGCTAAAAAACTTTTATTTTCATTTGTGTGTGCTTTTTTCGCCATTTGACTGCGCAGGTCTCATCTGTTCGGAAGGTGCGCTGTGGCGCAATCAACGCAAGCATGTCATCGACTGGCTGAAAGACCTGGGCATGACAAAAAAACAAGGCAACGCGCGTAAATCAATGGAGCAGAGAATAAAGATCGGCGTTATAGAATGCATGAAGGTAGCTAACAAACACACATATACTTATACAAACATGAASGCACAAGTGCAAAAGTAAGCAAAAAAAAAAAGGAAACAAAAACAAATTGTCATGACTCAGCTGCGCGACGTCTGGCTGCTGGCTAGTTTAGTACTTCAAATTAATTCGCAAATTCATTGGCATGAAAGTGTGCGACGGCGGCAGCCAGAAAGCCAGACAGTCTGCAGCAACAACAACACAGGAACGCGCACACCGACAACACTTTGCCTGCTATTGAAAGTGAATGTTTGCGAAATTCGTTTTTAAAATGCTTTTTTCTTTGCTCTTTTCCTTGTTGTTTTTTTTTTTTTTTTGCAGTCTTTCAGAGACGATTCCAAGAAGCATTCGTCTTTCGATCCACACCACGCGCTGCAGCACACATTGGGCAACATCATCAACGACTTGGTGTTCGGCGTCAAATATGCGCGCGATGACGTCACCTGGAAATATTTGCTCCAGCTGCAGGAGAAGGGTCTCAAATTAATGGGCGTTTCAGGTGCAGTGAATTTCCTGCCCTGGCTGCGGTAGCACATACGCCCACATACACATAATATTCGCTGTTTAATTAAGCATTTTTCGTTTTGCGCACAGATTCCTGCCGTGGAACCTGCGCTCCATACGGTTCCTACTCGATGGCAAGGCACGCACACATGAAATTTACAACAGTCTCATTAAGAAGCGCGAGCAGACGTGGGAACAACGCAAAGCTGTAAGCGACGAGAGTTTCAATATATTGGATCATTTCATTGATGAGCGCATGCGTCGTGAAGATTCCGATATTGCCGAAGAGCGTCTGTCCACCGACATCTACTACACGCAGGAGCAGCTGCTGCATCTGCTGGCGGATTTGTTTGGCGCGGGACTGGACACCACTTTGGCGACAATGCGCTGGTTTTTGCTCTACATGTGCAAGTACCAGGAGGTGCAGGAGCAGCTCAGAGCGGTAAACTAGTTTTCAATTCGCTTTTAAATATCAGTTCTTCTAAAATTAAAYACATGAATTTGTAGGAACTTTTGAAAATCCCCGATTGCGATTTCGACTTGGAACATCTGGAGCAGTGCCACTTTTTGCGCGCWTGCATCTCGGAAACACAGCGCATACGCTCGGTGGTGCCTMTGGGTATACCGCATGGTGCTGTGGAGGACTTCACCATTCAGGGTTGTTTAATACCTAAGAATTGCATGATCATTCCACTTCAGTGGGCTGTACATATGAGTCGTCTCAAATGGATCGAACCGGAATTATATTGGCCTGGCCGATTTTTGGATGACAATGATCAATACTGCCAGCCTGCGGACTTCATACCATTCCAGACAGGTAATATTCAATTCAGTTAACTAATCGGACAGAAACATAGTTTTACCCAAGTTTATTTTGGCAATGCAGCGATGCAAAAATTTTGGAAACTTCTCCCTGCGAGCCTCTCAAACTCTAAAACTGTTAACAGCTTACAATTATTCATCAAATTATCTTTCGTATCCCCAAAATATGAAGCAGTAATGCTTCCAGAGTTAGGGATCCAATGTAGAATTATTATCAGTTGCAAGAGCATAAGGATRAAGGCCAAGTTTTTATTGGATTTTAACTAAATTTACCATACCAGCTGTTCAATTTGTCCCGGACTGACAAATATAGCTACATTTTAATGTACTTCTAAGCCAATACAAGCAAGCTTAATACAAATTTCAATAGACTTATTATAAACCTCGGCTGGGATGACCTTCAGTGCCTTMAGCGTATTTTGGTTTTCTTGTTCTCGACTCCGAATTGAATAACAATGACTTTACGGTCTTTCCTCAGTGCTTTCTGACAATTAAATACTTGTGTTCGTGATAAAAAAGAAGAATAAAAGGACCGCCCATAATATAACTGAAACAGTTTCACCAACTCCGTTGTCATGATTCCATTGTAAAAAAATCACTTAAAGCAACCTCGTTGTTCAGTCTTTTTCTAAGATAACAACTCGCGAGAGAAATTTTCCGCGTAGAAAACAAACAGCAGCCACATAAGCACTGGTTAACATACGGAGATCATACTTCACGGGAATGTAAAAAACGATTACCAATTTAGGAACAAAAATTATCGATTCGGTATGATTGCATAACAACATAGCAATTCAGTGCTTTAAAATATGTAGAACAGGAGTGACTAGTCCGTAGCTGAATTAATTCTATTTAGTTAACAATATATGATTCAGCTTAAATCTCGCCCAGARATAGCTCAAAGAGTGCAAAAATCTATTAACAATTACTCAGCTGTCAAGTGACTACCTATTATAAATATAATGGTCGTATAAAGATTTTGCCTAAAACTGAGCTTTATGGTCTAAAACTGAATTTTGTACTCAGAATTTAATAATCATGGCATGCTGTTCAAAAATCTCATTGATACTTCGATTTTCACCTTTGCCTTTTTCTTTCCTTTWCCACGGTTCAGCATACACTGCTATTTCAATGAATCGTTTGAGTTTATGCCGATATTTTTTGTACACCTTGGTGAAACCAAATTGCTAGCAAATTTTACTGCAAATTCGCTTTAAAACTTAGTTAAGGCATACAAAGCACATAACTTCGTCTAGTTTTATCTATCTATATTGAGCATTATATACACATAGAAATCACTTTGTAGGACAATGCTCTCATTCAATGACAATCGGTTATACGTAACCGGTATTTATATGGATTTTAACCGGTACAATAATGACAATATTTTTATAAATTATTTGGGAAATATTTACGGTCGCTAAAAAATTCGCTGATTGTGACAATTCTTTCATTCCACGACAATCGGTTATACGTAACCGGTATTTATATGGATTTTAACCGGTTAAGTTACGACAATATTTTTCTAAATTATTTAGAAAATATTTACGGTCGCTATATAAACAAAAAACATGATATCTGTGTCTCACTCCAATTTTTTCTTTACATGGCAATCGGTTATATGTACCCGGTATGTACACGGATTTTAACCGGTTAAATAACGACAATCTTTTTCTAAATTACCAAATATATAAAAATATTGATAGTTAAATTTTTTCTCCACCACTTTCGCAGGCAAACGCATGTGCCCCGGCGAGGAACTCGCGCGCATGATGCTCTTCCTTTACGCCGGCTACATAATACGCGGCTTCTACATACGTTTGTCGCAGGAGCACGAAATCATGAGCTTGCGCGGTGAAAATGGCATAACATTAGTGCCGCAATATTATGAAATCGTAGCGACACCCATGCGCAACATGAAGGATCTGGTCAAGGACGATGACGTGGGCATGTACAAAGCTGTGGCGGTGAAGAAGGACATAAAATCAAACACAATTTAAGTTTAGTTTATAAAAAATCTCTTTTTTTGCCTTTAATATATTTTGTTTTATGTAATTTCTTTTTCAATATGTATGTATGTATGTGTGAGTTGCTTGTATTCTTTTCAAAATTACATATATATGTATATATTGTATAAAAATATATAAATACATAGACATGAACATTGGTTATTTTTACTACAACGAAGCGCATAACTAATGAAACTAAGTATAAAATTGTGTACAAATGATATTTATATGTGCAAATGCATGTGCTTGCATATGTGTGTATATTTAATAAAAACAACAAAAAATTCAAATRAAATTAAAAATTCGTCAATTTTGTATGCATTGCACATACTTATGTGTGTGTGTGTATGCTACATATGTATTTATGTTTACTGTGTGTGTGTGTGGTTACGTTGTTGTTTTTTTTTTKTTTTTGTTTTTGGTCTMATTGACGCGCAGTATCCGTTATCTTGCAAGCTACAATTAAATATTTCAATTATGCATAAGTCTTAGCTGCATCCTGTGGCCTACACGGCGTATACGTGACTATTTGCTGTCTATTTTACATTTACTATTCGTTTTTTGCTATTTGTTGAGATATTTGTGATGTGAAAAATGCTTTTAAGTGAATKTATTTCATTTATTTACTACGTCTTTTCTACAAGTGCGCACATTTTGCACACGCATGTATTATGCGCTTAAAATTATGCTACAAAAACTGTTTGRATATATTCGTTACAGTTACATGGAGTATAAAACTAAACCACAGTTGTTTTAAACTTAAGCTGATGATTTCTTAAAACTAATTGTTGAGCTTATGAATTAACGTATGTATGTATGCAGTTATGTGTTSTACATATATTTATTAATAATTTATACAAAAACAAAATATATAAATAAAACTACTGAACACAGCTTCTTGGGGGTGCTAGAATAGAACTTGTTGACAAATATTTGTTGGTTACTAGGCTGCTGTAGCGTTTAAACTAATTGCTATATTATATGTAAGTGCGCATTTTTACCGTTATTTGGTAACAGCTGTTTTCTGCGAAAACGTTAGCAACAAAAGCGTGGCTAATAAACAGCTGCGTAAGTAACTGTAAATGAGCACTAACTGTAATTAACTACGCTTACGAGCACTTTCAACGCAAATACAGTGTTTCACGGATAAAACAAGAGCAGCGGTAAAGCAAAAAAAAGCTGCAAAAATGCGCGGAAAGCGGAAACTTCTCTAATTTATCTGTGAAATATTGTATTAAATGCGCTCTATTTGAAATATTTGTATATAAAAAATACTATGAAACAAATAAATATTGTCTGGTGTGTAACAAAAAGACGGCTTTGCCGTCTCCTACCGGTACTCGCTCGCTACTTTTTCACTTTAAAAACTAGAAAAATACATTTACTTCATTCTTCATTTTTCTGCTCTCTCTCCATCTGCTTATATGCCATAAATGCATATATTAACTATTTAGATAACTATATATAATATATATATATATATATGTAGCAAAATTTTAAAAATCGTATAGCTTATTCGTTGATGTCTTTTAAAATATATGTACTAAATATTTTTTTGTTTGTTTTATCGACAATTAGAATTCGTCAATTAGGAACAAAACCGTGCTCTGGTACACCTGGAACATCAGCAAACGTGTGCGCGTATAAATACGCGCAACATAGCGCATGTCCGCACGCGTGCGCGCTGGCTCTATTTTACTACCGCGCTCTTTTACTCTCACGCCCGCGCTGTTGTGCGCGCACTACTAAGCGCATACGCTATTAAACTGCACGTAGTCGCCTGCAGCATACACTAGTCCCACGCTCACATATCCCTCCCTCTCTCTCGCTCACACTTGGTTACAAGCGCGCGTGTCAAACATTTTGACATTTGACATTTTCAGCATTTATAACGTGCGTGCGTCTTGTAAATCGGCCGGCGGTTTCATGGCATCAGCGTGAGCGGCCGCGGTGTTAGACATACCTTGAAGGTTTCCGGTGTAATGGTGGCGCCTACATTGCCCTTTAAACTGGGCAATGGTTGTCCTTCGGGCAGCGTGATGTCGAAGCTGTGCATGAACGAGGCGAAGAAGAGAAACAGTTCCATGCGCGCCAACACATCACCCAAACACATGCGTCGGCCCACACCGAATGGTATGAAATACTCTGGTTTGCGCACTTTGCCCTCGGAGTCGAGGAAGCGACGTGGATTGAACTCTTCGGGTTTCTCCCACAAATTGGGGTCCATATGTACGCTGTTGATCAGCGGTATGACATGTGAGCCGGCGGGGATTTTGTAACCGTTCAATTCAACATCTCTGTAAGAAAGCGAAAGAGAAATAAGGTGTTTATTAGTAAGGTGAGTATGTTGGGTGTGATGAGTTTTTACTTAATAGTGGTGAGTAAAAAAAAATATTAAATAAAAAGCTGGCAACGCTACAATGTTAACAATGTTGCTGKGACCATTATTTATAAACAACATTGTTGATAGGCTGCTGAAAATGTTGCTCAGCTCGCAAAATTCTTTTCGTTTGCTTTTGCTTTTATTTTCTGTGTATTCAGCGCCCATGCATATAAATGAAATCGGAAATTTTATATATTATTTTATAATATTAATYACTTTTAGCTATAAAGAAGCGGATCAAGTGATTAGATAGCGCTTCTCAGAAGTCTTAGCTGCAATTCAATTGAAAACTGCTGCAAATGCCCGCCCGTGACAGCAAGTGAAGATCATAAAGCACATATACGTGTATGTGTGCATACACGTACATATATAGATCAAAAGGCAAGCACGCTACTGCTGCTGGTGTAATCAGTGAGGCTGCGCAATTGCTTATATTTTTTGATTGCCACACACATTTCGTGCGCGCTTATCAGGTGCAAGTTGTGCCCCTCGCCATGCCGACAGCGCTGCTGACGCGCCTGCCAACGCACACACGTACAACARATTATAGAGCTTRTATTTTTAGCTTACTTTTCTGATTTCAATTGCTTATATGTAAGTGTGTAGCTGGCACTTTTCCAGCAGCAACTGGCTTGCGCACCACTGCCGCGCTGTCAGCCGTGAACGCGGGCAAGTGCGCGCCACAAGCAACAAGTGCCAATGGAGTGTCGCATAGTGGCGCTTGGCGCTGGCGTTGGCGTCGCCGTAGCAGCTAACGTGCTAGCGGTTGCTGCGSCTGTGGCGCGCGTTTCCAAGTGCGTTTTTAATCAGCAACGCGCCGTGCAAAACTGGGCCAAACTACGCATCACACCGCAGTGAATGGCGTGCGCCCATCCGAGTGCGCTTATGCATGAGTGTGTGTGTGCGCAAAAGTGTTTGTATATAYGTATCTTTGCATTTGGCGCGTAGATTGTAAATTATTGCGTATATTACATATTGACGCACATAGCATGTGACAAGTGCTTTGCATAAAAGGATGCGCTCGCTTGACATATCAGCTGTGTTTGTCGCTGCGCGTTTGTATCTGCATGTGCATATGTGTGTTTGTGTGCACGCAAAACGCTTTGATGCACGTCAACGTATCAATTTGACGGTTGATTGCCGTGTGTGCAACAATGAAAAATGCGTAGATAGCCGCAGAGGGCAATGAACTTTGCTGATTGCCAATGCGCAGAGGCATTAGAATTTCGTTTGAAGCAAATGCAATGAAATGACGTTATAGCTAATCTTATAATATTGTTGATTTGATGTAAGCAATAAAACTGAAAGAAAAGTTACTAGGAAAAAAACCATTAAAGTTATGGAAAAAACAAATTAATTTA